TGGGGAGTGGGGGGGAGGGGAAAAATTTAAATGGAAGAGTCTAATTTAAGTGGGGATTTCTGGGCCATAGCGGGGCCATGGCTCCCCTGGCTCTGCCCCTGGTATAACTTCTATCACTATCTTAGACTATATATACATATTCTTTTGTTTTTTACTTTTTTGGATCACATTCTAACTTAAGATGGACTAATAGATGTTAGATAACCAAGTTCACTTAAGATATCTTTTCCCTTACAAAATTATGTTTCACTTGTGAAAATTCACTGTCACTAGATATTGCTTCTACTTATATGGTTGGGTATGGGTGCTATCATTTTTATGATGCAAATAGGTACAACTGTTGAGCCATTTGGATCATTTGTTTCAAATCTATACACAAGACGGGGAGACTTGGATATTTCTGTTGAAGTACCCAATGATTCACTTGTTTCTGCTGCTGGAAGAAGGCATAAGCAGGACATACTAAAGGATATACGAAAAGCTTTGAGAAAGAGAGGTAATGTATTTTCCCCTGCATGTATTCTTTCTTTCTTTTGTCATCATCACCATCATATATAAATTTTGTGTCTCTATATCACATTGCTTGCATGTGGACCTTTTTTGGATGCAAATTTGCATATTTTAATTTAAGATTAGTGCTCAACATAGTTGTAAGGCCCAGCTATGTTGTATGGAGCAGATTGTTGGGCAGTCAAGAAACAACATGTCCAGAAAATGAGTGTGGCAGAAACACAAATGCTAGGATGGATGAATGAAAAAACTAGAAAGGATAGGATCAAGAAAGAAGTCATCCGTAGGAACCTAGGAGTAGCTCCAATAGGTGATAAAATGAGAGAGAGTAGACTATGATGGTTTGGTCACGTCCATGCAAGACCACTAACAGATCCAGTTAGAAGAAGTGATTTGTTACAAGTTAAAGGGGCCAGAAGAGCTAGGGGTAGACCAAAAATGACATGGGTAGAAGCAGTAAAAAATGATTTAAGGACTAATAATGACGTCAAGCTCTTTTCAGACCTTTCAAGGGAGGAGATCTCTCACTTTCCGAGCAACAGGATCTGGATCAGGCCTGTTCCATCAAAACTAGCCTTTTTGTTTGGTCTGCAGTGCTGGATAAGATTTTAACCAAGGAGAATTTAGCTAGAAAAGGTTTAGAAGTGACAGTTCTGGAATGCAGATTCTGTAATGGAAATGTGGAAAGTACTAGTCATTTATTACTGCATTGTGACTTCACTTACTGGGTTTGGACAAGACTGCTAGTGTTTTTTGGAGTTAATTTATGTTTCCCAAAGGATGTGAAGGATTTCCTAGAGGCTTGGTTCCTAGGTGGCCTCAGCAAGGCTGGAAAAGTAGCTTGGAGTATCCTCCCCGCTGCTGTTTTCTGGGCAGTGTGGGGTGAAAGAACTATTAGAATTTTTGAAGGAAGGCAGAAATCAAAAGAAGAGGTGCTCAAAAGGATTATGGGAATGGTGTTTTCGTGGCTGACAAACCATCCACTCTTTAAAAACCGGCAAACTTGTTCTTTTTTTGAGCCTGATTTCCTTTTTGTAAGAAGAGCATAGTGTTCTTTTGAGTTGTTTTTTGGAGCTTGGCTTTTCTGAGATTTTTCTGTCTATTTCTGCTGTACAGTCTCTCATTGTACAGGGGCCTTTTGTATGCTGCCCTTTTGTTATTAATGAATTACTTTACCTTACAGTTTTCAAAAAAAAAAAAACAGTGGATATGGCTTTAAATAGAATATTCATAAAAAAGATATGGCTTTAAATAGAATGGATTGGCGAAATAGGATTCATGTAACCAACCCCATATAGTTGGAATAAAGCATGAATGATGATGACAGTGACTTTGTACTTCAATTGGAAGATAGAAGAAGTTCAAGGAGTCTGATAAAATGATCATGACAGAAACCTAAAATGATTATATTATTATGAAGACATATCATGTACTTTATACATACTAACATACCTATTCATTTAGATTGTCCAATCTTCCTATCTATCCACATGAATTACCTACTTGAGTATTAGTTTTCTATGTACATTTTGTAGTGCTAACCATCCATTAGAAGGCAAAATTTTTTGTGACCAGATGCTAATATTAACTGATTGACTTGATTTTTAGGCGAATTGTGATGCAATATTCAACTCTTTCATTGGATGATTAATATCTATGAGCAGGTGCACCAATTATAGATTTGGTGGAAAACAGGTTATTATAATCAATGTTTTAAAACAAGGAGGTGTGACGCGAGGCATTCCACTACCTAGAGGCGTGAGGCATAGTTCAGAACGCAAGAGGCATAAGCCTCCCGAACACAAGGAGGCGTAAGCCTCCTTAAGAGGAGGGGGGTTAGGAGGAGGATGAAGAGAATGGGGGGATCTCATTTTTTTCTTTATTTTTAATAAAAATCTTTTATATTAAGAAGAACAAAGATGCATAACATTAGTTCAAAGGGGGGGGGGTCTTGTCGAAGCGAAGAGCAAGACCCCCCTAACTCAAAAAAAACAAATTGGGCTGCATCGAAAAGGGGGCGGGGGGATCTGGGGGGCGAAGCTCCCCAGCCGAAGGGGCAAGGGGCAAGCCACTTTCTTTCCCCTTATCTTTTCTTCTCTTCTCTTCTCTTCCCTTTCCTTTCCTTTTTTCTTTTTTTTTTCTTCTCTTTCTTTTTCTTTCCCTTCCCTTTCTTTTCTTTTCCTTTTTTTTTTCTGTCTTTTTATATCAAATGTGCATGAGGTGCATGAGGCGTACACCTCTAGCACGCCTCATGAAAAAAGCGCAAGAGGCGTATGCCTCAGAGGTGTCAGTGCCTCTGGCATATGCCTCGGGGCATTTTGGGAGCGCCTTGCCTGGAGGCATGCTTCCTGGCGTACGCCTCCCACGCCTTTTAAAACACTGGTTATAATTTATAATACTGTAGCTGTTATGTTTTTGCACAACACATTCAATTGCTTGAAAATTACATATAATGTAGTGATATATTTTATGTTAATCATCTATAACATCTACTGAAAAGACAACTGTGCAAAATCACTATTCTAAGAGCTAGTAGACTCTCTAGCCAGGGGTGGATTGCGGATAGCATATAGATCGTGTAAAGGGTCCAGTTCCCCTCTTTTTTCTTTTCTTTTTTTTTTTTTTTTTTTGTGTGGTGGGGTGAGGAAGGGAGCTAAGGACTGAGAAGAAGGAGGTTGGTTTATTGGTAATTTGGTATGTTCCCCCCCTCCTTTTAGGCTGTGTTTGGTTTCAAGGAAAAAGGTAGGGAAAGGAAGGGAAACCTATACAAACCTTGTATAGGTTTCCCTACCTTTTCCTTCAAACCAAAAGCAGCCTTAGGGACTGTATATTCTTGTACATGTTCTTTCTTTTTCTTCATATTAAAAAAGATTTCTGATCGGGGCTGCCAATAGAGAAATAAAAAAAAAAAAAACTATTTTAGGATTTATGGATCTAATGATTTCAGTACAGTACAATGTTTGTTATGTTGCTGATGAAGTTAGACTCTTCATATCAACATGTGTTCCATTTCTGATATATAAATATTCATATTGGAATATATTACGTTTTCACATGAAATATTATTGGTATCAGGTGGCATACATAATTTGCAGTTCATTCCCAATGCAAGAGTTCCAATCCTTAAATTTGAGAGCAACCGGCAGAATATCACTTGTGATATCTCAATCAGCAATATTCTTGGTCGAACCAAATCCAAATTATTGCTTTGGATCAGTGAGATAGATGAACGCTTCCGTGATATGGTTTTACTGGTCTGTTTTCAATATTATATCAATATTTTCTGCTAGTGTTCTGTACAAATGCTTGTGTTTTATGTTTCATTCCTACATGCAGGTAAAGGAATGGGCCATGGCACAGAATATTAATGATTCAAAGTCTGGAACTTTAAATTCATACTCTCTTTGTTTGCTTGTTATCTTCCATTTTCAGGTGATCTTTTGCTGTTTGAAGTACTCTAGCTGTTAGTATTAATTATCAGAAATAATCTAGACAAGAGGTCATCCACTTATTGCACAATTCGTGGCACAGAAGTGATCCACTTTTGCCGATTTTTTTCATGTATGCTTCCAGAGGAATGACACATTGACACGTAACTTCAGAAACTAGACATATAAGTATGGTATAAAAATATTATATGGGATACCCCTAGCCATTTTCATGTCTAGGTTTTTTAGAAATGGAGAGTCACATCCCTGTTTCCCTTATCTATGTCCATGTTGGATCCATATCTGGGCATCATAGACGTGCTGAACCAACACATTCAGAAGTTTGATCGATTACCTTTTCCATCCTCTTTTTCCCTCTGACCCTGCCAACCCCTTTTTTTCCCTTTAGAGGACAGACACTACAAACCTGTCCACTCTATTACTTGCCTTGCAGCTGCATTGAAATCACTCAAATCAGCCAATATAACCACAATAGATTGTTCAGTCTCTCCTCACCTTAATGAACCTTCTTTTATTACAAGCTAAACAATTTCATTCCTCTCGACTTCTTGAAGTATGCAAAAACTTGCTTACTTCCTCTTTAATAGAAGAATGGAACTTCTTGATTGCAAGTCAAAGAGCTTCCTTAATAAAAGGCCTTCCCAGAAAAAAGGCCTAGTCCTGATCAATGCTGTATATTATTACAATGAGATGAAACGTTGTCAGTTGGATCACACAGTATTCAAGTTGATTTTAAGCTAAATGTGATCTCTTGTTGGGACCGCATATGGATGATATTGGTCCCCTTGGTTATGAAATGTGCATTTCAGGCACAGGAAGATTGATTCTTCATGGCTTCATATCCTACTTGCTGTTACCTGAAATTAGTACCCCAAAAAAACATCTTTTCTACAGCTTGGACGTTAATTTTCTGTTTCTGTTTCTTTTTTATTTTATTTTGTTATAGAATTGCAGGCCTGCGATTGTACCTCCTCTGAAGGAAATATATCCAGGGAATATTGCTGATGATCTTACAGGTGAATATCATATTAAACTTCATTAATTCATGGGATGGCGTTCTGGATGCTGCATTTTTAATGGTACTTTGTAGGAGCTTCATAAACTTTTAGCAGGAAAGGTTCTCAAGGGAATAATTTTATATATCCTTTTGGCTTCTATTACTAGGGAACATGCCTTTGTGTGTACTGAGTGCTTTTATTATAAATTGTCCCCCCCCTTTTTATAGAGTTTTTAGCCACATTTACTCGTATGCAGGTGTTGGGGACATTGTTGAGGGAAATATAAGAGATGCATGTGCTGCAAATATATCAAGATTTCGAGAAAAGTTAAAATTAAACAATAGCTCTTTGTCTGAGCTTTTTGTCTCATTTGTCAATGAGGTATTTTTTTTATAGAAACCAAGAAGGTAATTTATGCATTGCGATAATGTATGTGCTGCAATCAACATAGAACACCATGTACATTACACCTTTATATCAAAGTTACTCGATTTCTTGGCATAATATACGAGGAAAAAATTTTTTAAGTTATTCTTCTTAACTATTTATGTTTTATGCTCCTTATGTTTATACGTTCCTATGATTCACATGGTCATATTCATTGAGGATGATTCAGGCTTCTTTGTACCTCTTTTGTAAGCTATGCAGTTCTCTAGAATCAACTTGATAGCATCAGAGTATGCAATTTGCACATATACAGGACAGTGGGAAGAAATAACCAGCAATAGTAAATGGATGGCCAAGAAGTACCCACTACTAGTAACTCTCTCTCTCTCTCTCTCTCCACACGCACGCACACAAACTTCATTTCTGATTTCTATTCAATCTATTCCTACATTTCTGATTTCTGGTCAGATCGAAGATCCATTTGAGCATCAAGAAAATACCGCAAGGGCTGTTGGCGCAAGTCAGCTAATTAGGATTTCCGAGGCGTTTATGACGACCCACCATATGCTTACCTCATATACTGCGGACCGAAGTTCTTTGGTATCAACTCTATTCAGGCCACAAATCCTTTCGCAACTGGTTGCAAGAACACCAAGAGGAGTTCCTAGTACTGCTGGTCGAGGAAGGCATAGGCTCAATCAATCATTATCCGCTTCAATACCGTCGCGAAACCAAACCCAGTTTCTGGCGTTGGGAAATCGTACTTCGACCAGCTATTCCCAAAGGCGTGGACCAGTTGTCAACAGTCAAGCCCAGCAAGAATGGAGGCCAAGATATTCAGAAAGATAACCAATGTTAATTAACATTGATTGCGTCTCTCTCGTCCTTACTAGACTTGTATTTGTATACCAAAAAAATATGTACTTTTTTTTTGTTTCATTTCAATCCAAGTTTAAAAAGGCGCCAAGGTCTCTAACTGGTTATTGCCAAGGTTCAAAATATCAGCATCGCATGATGTATGGGTGCAACTCAGGCGGGTCAGGTTGGATTTAGGCTCAAACTGGTTTAACCCGTGTCTTTTGCTATATGCAATCACTATTGGATCAAGCTAATTTTAAATCTAATACTCGGGAGGTTCATCACCTCTAATTCATTCCTATCATCAGGTGACTCCATCTCAGCCTCTAAGTGAGACATCTGGTTATGCTCAAAGTGTGGCCTAACATCAGGTCAAGCCCAAAGTTGCCAGCCTAGGCCTAGATTGAGGTAAACCTAACACAATGGGCCTTGGATTTAAGGTTGAAATGATTATAGATAAATACATAAGAAATGCATACATTTTAATAGTTTATATGAAGAATACATAACAATGATTACAGAGGAATATATAGATATCATACAATCTATCAAAAACATGCTTACAGTTAGATGTGTGTGTCCTACAATGTGTTGTGGTCAGCAGAACCGGAGACTCTAAGACAAATTATTATGTGTAAGGTTATTAATATGTTATTTATTTATTATAAGTTATTATTTAATAATTAAATAATATATAATTAATCTGAAGTCGGGAGATGTTAGGTTAATAATCATACCCCTAATTGGGAAGACTCTGCTTCAAGTCTTACCAGTAGCATGGGTGTTGAAATTTTTTAAAATTTAATAAGGAGACACTAAATGACAAGATTTGAAAATCTACAATTAGTAGCATTAATGGTGATAATTAATGGGCTTAAGTTGAAGTAGAACCACGATTAGGCTGCATTTGGCATTCCTTATTTTAAAGACTTATCTCCTTTTTTTAGTTAAAATTGCCCTTAATAAACATCGGGTTTTTAACAGCAAAAAGGAAATAAGCCCTTATAATAAAGAATGTCAAATGCAGCCTTAAGGTAATATCTACAAGAGCACGATACCAGAACTTTGATCAATTGACTCTGCTGATCCAGCTGATCCTGGATCTCACTTATATCTGCAAAGATTTGATGAAATATTTGGATCCAGTCATTGGTATGACAGTTCCAAAAAGAAGGCTGTCTCAATTGCTGAACTGGATTTTGTTGTATATGCTTTACGATCTCATTGTTGTTGTTATCTGGTTGGATCAGCAGCATCCGAACTTGATTCAACTATTGGACCGTCAAATCTATATCTGCTTCAATTCAAAGTTCAAAATATCACTTATGAGTGTATTGTGCTTTAAGATCACTGATATTCTAAATACTAGAGTTCTGTAATTTTATTTGTTTCGAGTGTTAATACATGATGTGTCGTATCTATTGACAAAATAACAGATAAAAAATAAAAAATTAAAATAGTTTGAACTGAGTGAAACTTTTTAATACACAATTTTTACATATTAAGATTTAAGAGTATTGATGCATTGAACAGAGTATTGAATGCATTCAGATTTTAAGATCCAAAATCCAAAATAATAAAGATGAAGGATTCAAGGTTCACTTTTTGGAGTCCGTTGAAGGCCCTAACCCCATTGTATTCAAAAGAGATTTAGGGCAAGAACTTTTGTATCATGTGCTATGAGCAAAACCATATTCTATCCAAGATTCAAAATATCAAATATGAAATGGCCGATGCCTGCATTGGATTTTCAAGGGCCTGCTCTATATAAGTCTTGGGATATTGAAATGACGTGCAATTTCATTTGAGCGGCACAGCATGAGTAGGTATTGTATCCATTCGTCTGTATGGGCCGAAGGTGTTAAAAATATAAAAAATTAATTGACCCTTAAAATGATTATTTTAAGGAAATTTGTATTTAAGGCTCAGTTTGGAAGGATGTACAGTACAAATAAAAATATGTACAGTATAAAATAATACAAAACACAAGGTTTTGTACTCTATATATGTATTTCTACTTCCAAATGGAGCTTATAAATGCAAATACATAGAGTGCAAAATCCTGTATTTTGTATTATTTTATATGTATTTATATTGTATATATTTGTATTTGTACTCTTTCCGAAACAGTACAAATACAAAAGTGTACAATGCAAATATGTTTTTTTTTCAAATTTTGAGAGGGGGGAATTCCCATTGACCAAGAATCACATGTTTTTTTTTTCAGATTTATGTGAAGACTAGAAAAAGTTTATTTTCCTGGGTATCACTTACCCGGGTAAAATAAGTGATACCCATCTCCTAGGTGAGTAAATAACTTTCCCACCTACGGGGGAAGTTGAGAACACTTGAATGGGACAAAAATGCCCCTTTTGATAATTGATTTTTATAACTAAAATAGTCATTGCTTTATTTACATGAGAAATAAAAGAACATAGATAAATGTACTTATCCGAATAAGTATTTCTCAGAAAAAACTTATTCAGATAACTGTATTTACCTCGAGAAGTAACTTACTGAAAAACGAACTAGACCAAAATATAAAGTTTTACAATCTATATATTTGCCTTTGTACTAATTCCAAACTAAACCTAAGGTTCAAAAACATCCTTAAGATAAACCCAATACCTGATATCTGAAAGCAAGCGTATGCAACACAAGTGAAACAGCACGAGGTCGAGGACTTATGGTGGCGGTGTTAGCGAATGGTTAAGAGACCGGTTTACCCCAAAAGTAGTACGAATGGTTAAGAGAAAAGTCTATTCATCTTTCGTTGGATTAGATTGATTATTACATCTTCAATTAAAAACATATCTATATTATTTACCAAAAGCAGAGGGTTTTATTTGAATATTTCTCAATAAAGAAACGAGAAAGATAAGGCCAAAAGTAAGAAAAATCCATCACTGTCTGGTATTGGGGCTGCAGACTGTATCCAATGGTTTAAATTCGAATTCAAATTCAATCTCATTAAGGGTGATTCAACATTGATCCATTTATAATTGGATCAAATATATAGATCCACCCCTATCTAATCCGATCAATCCAATATAATCCTATATCTATTAAAAAGGCCGGTTTGAATGTTGTGTTTTTAAAATTGTAATAGATTAAAATTTCATACAGTAATTCTCAGATCATTTTGTTCATGAAATGCAACATCAAAGTCATTCATTTAATAAATAACATAAATCTTTAGATCATTTTTAGTTTAATTTACTCTTACTATTCAATATCCAATTTCAATCCAAATTCGATTCAAATCCAATATAAATTTGATGAATAAAATCTTATTTAAATTCAAATATAAATGAATCAAATTTGGATTTACCCATATTCAATTTAGTTTGATCCATTGGCAGCCCCATCTGGTTTGTTAGTAGACCGGTGGTAGACCTTGTTTTGCTCCCATCTTGGAAGGGAACCCTGCTTCCTCCCAGTGGTAGACCTTAAATCCCCTAAATTATCAAAATACCCCCACTAAATTCTCTTTATTTTCTTGCCCATTTTTTCTTAACCCAAACTGATCCGAAAATACCTCTGTTTCTTCCCGCCGAAAAATCTTCTAGACTGGTGATATAACAACATAAAGATCAAAATACTAGACGATTTTGACAAAGTCGAGAGCCTTCTTGACAGATACCCAATTAATCTTGAACTCAGAGTGAATGGGAAAAGTGGAATTTTTTCAATCCAATTTGTACACCCACTCAGGCTTCATTTTAGAACCTTTATTTATTTTGGATTTAGAACCTTTAGTATTTATAGATTGAACATTGAAGGTTATAATCCCAGAACAGAGGAATACAAGGTCGTAAGGTCGGATTTGTCATAGTAATGGTGGCGCACACAGTGACACAGTGCAGGGGCGGAGCCAAGTATCTCGGTGGGGGTTCTTCCCCTTCAAACCTTTTATTGAAACCATTATTTATATGTGGTTACTAAGTAGAAGTTGGATCAAAACCTAACAAAGTGCGTCTTTGCCCCCCCTCCCCCTCCCAAATATGTAAAACTTCAACTAAAATGTAAAGGATTATTTTTAACACTCCTCCAACTCTCAAAATAAAAAATATATATTTATTTTTTCTTTAAAAAAAATTGTAATAGACCCAAACCTTCACAAGCCATTTTCTCTCAAACCATAATTCTTCTCCCTATCTCATTTTCTTGTTTAAAAGTTTAATCCCCCCTCCTGACTCCGCCACTGATACAGTGGATACCGGTTCATGGAGGACTCTCAAGAATATCCCTTCACTCGTTAATTACAGCAGCCCACGGGAAGTATGTATTGGTAGAGATATGCATTGGATCGCAATTAGTGACAATATCATTTCTTTTGACATTGAAGATAAACAATTCATTGATTTAGAGAGATTCTTGTTCGGGTGATGATTGAGCTAGCCAAGGATGCCACGTGACAACCTCCACAACCATTTTCTCTCTCTATTCATGTCGGCACCACACATGACGGAAGAACACGATTAAGGAGTATTCTGTACAAACAAGGAAGCGAACTCTACCGGGAAAGAGAAAACCTCGACAGACGATCTTATCCTGAAAGCCCTATCCATCTAGGACAGGGATACCCAACTATAAATAGGTATTCCCTACTCGAGGTAAGGGACTTTTGATAGAACACTCTTTAAATATCTCTCTGCACTATTCAAAGATATTCCTGTTTGGGTGATGATTGAACTGGCCAAGGATGCCATGTGACAACCTCCACAACCATCCTCTCTCTCTACCCATGTCGGCACCACGCATGACAGAAGAGCACAACTAAGAAGGAGTGTCCTGTATGGATAAGGAAGCGAACTTTGCCAGAGAAGAGGAAACCTCCTAAAAACTTCGGCGGACGACCTCATCCTGACAGCCTTGAAAGCCCTATCCATCTAGGACACGGACACCCAATTATAAATATGTATTTCCTACTCGAGGTAAGGGACTTTCGACAAAACTCTCTTTAAATACCTCTCTGCACTATCTCTTTGGCTCGGACCAACATTACTTCAACTTGCTCGGCCCGGCCACCTCTTTCTCAATTCTCACCCAACTAACTTGAACGTTGGAGAACCTGTCCGGGGAATAACTCCTTGGCCCTTTGACCTTTCTCCTAGTTGCAGATCTCAGTGCACGGCTTTATCCTTTCACCTCGGCTTCGCCCAATTGGCAACAAGGATCAAAATTTCGTCACGTATCAACTTGTATCGGTTGATACGTATCAATACCGGAGCCTTTCCGATACACTCCTACATGGGATGTTTCGGGTTGGCAAGTGGTTCAGAGGGTAGATTGGCCTTAAACTGGCCCCTTTGAACCAGTTTAAAAAAAAAAAACATATTACCGATACGGCATATCAACCTGTATCGATATTTGAACCTTTGTTGATAAGATTGTCTGATTGTATGCTCAGTTCAGAACACCTCAGTCAGACGGCATCAAATTCCAATGCCCAAATTTCATTCTTCTAACCAAAGCAGTCTTTTCACGTTGGAGAAGTCAGTTCGAGTTGGAGTAAAAAAGAGGAAGCAAGGTTTTAAGATAGGAGAATTGGGAGGTTGTCTTTTGTTAATAAATATTTTGTGTGATAATTGCTTCAAGATATTTGTAACTTGTAAGGAAGGAGGGTCCTGGTCTTAACAGTTCACTGTTAGAATTGATGTCGGTATATCACATGGGAATTGGCTTGGATATATCACAAGAGGCTACACAAACAGGATATATCGCGGTGGACCGCCTGTGGTTGACTCTACTTGTTCAAGATGGAGGACTCGATTATCATGATCCCCATTATTAGTTGGCTCTAAGTAGCCTCTCTTAAGCCGCAACTCTACCTGAGATTTTGCAATTCTGTCAGGTCTAAAATGGTATCTGCTCCTCATGTGCATTGGAAATATCTCCCGTGAATAATAACTTAAAACTACGGGAGATATTCCCATTATAGGATGTATGTGTAAGGCGCCTTCTGTGATAAGCAGATTCGATCTCATCTAAATCCTAGTCCTAGGCAGACCAAATTGAAGTATGAGTAAAACTGTAAAACTGTCGAATAATAGAAGAAGATCAGATGCTGTAAGAAAATTATAAACTAAAATAAAGATCCTGATTATCCTAGCGTCCACTCTATCCTTCTTAAGCTTTGTAATCGGTGCTCTGTTGCAACAACCAATTATTGATAGAGAAAATAGAGACGAAAAAGGCATCGCCGTTGATGACAAAGAAAGGGTAAAAAGGGGAAAAAAGATTAGCTAAGATTTTTGTCTTGAAAGGGAACAAAAGGAAAAAAATGATGTTTTAAAAAACGATCTGGAATTGAAACAATTCTGGCCATTAATTTTTGGGTTGACAGTTTGACCGTCTGGTTCGAATAGACTGCATGTTCCGATAAAAAATAAAAATTAAAAAATAATTAAAATAAAAAGGTCAAAACTGTTGAAAGGTCAATGAATCAACCACCCGAGTCAATAGGTCATTGACCAATTCAATGATTTTTTACCAGGAATCAGGTTTAAAGTAAAAGGGAACTGATTGCATATAACAGTTCCCAAGCTGAACAGTCCAGCCATCCATGTCAATAGCAATTTGAAAACATCGGAAAAAAATAGAAGAGCTACTATCGATGAGAATCCCTTTTAAAATTAACTCAACGGAAGTGGGTCTTTGTCACACTTAAAAGTTCAGAGGCTATTTCCCATTAATGAAATTACAAGGGGTATTTGATACTGACATCATATTACAGGGTCTTGTAATTTACCCTTTTTGTAAATATATCATACGATGAAATATAATTTCTGCATATCAAAGAATATCAAAACTTTTGAACCATGCTTATTAATACATATTTTTGGGGTGGACGATACACAAAATACTACAAATTTGGTAGAATAAAGATTCAAAACTTGATCTTCATCATGGATTATGACGATTTCAAAGCTTTTTATGGTATATTTTCATTTTAAGAGAGTGCCAATGTACCTCATGTATCAATGCTTTTGCACCTTGCAACATCAGAATGATTTTTTTCCACTTATTTTAAGTAATAACTAATAACACATCCCTAAGTGGTAAGCCAGGCAACGAAATTACAACTGTAGAGCAAATTCACGAATGGCACAAGGAAAGCCAAATTGGAGTTCCAAAGTTAATAGGCCTAGATCACCATGTCAAAGACGGGAAACATGCCTTCCCAAAAGTGAAATAAGTTGAAACTTGAAAGCAACAAGCCAATGAAATAAAAACAGTAACTTTAGTTAAGAATTGAGGTCAGATCATTATTTATCGGAGAAATCCAAACACCCAAAAGTTCAGAAGGATGGATCCTTAGTTGTTATCTGAGACTTAAGCCATTATTACAATTTGAAACTAAAAACGAAACAATTAAAACTTCGAGAACAACCATTGTCCAAAGCCCATTTCGTAAGATATTTTGAATCTATCATGTGTCAAGCTTATAGGCGCAATCACAAAGCGGAGAAAGCACTATCATTCCTTCTTCCCTATCCCATGAGACATATTGTAGATCCCTCGTGCCTGGACAAAGCATAAGAGTCTTAATGATGCAAGAAATCAACTGAACGTTGTTAAAAATTAGAAAATTTTCTTGCTTCATGGAAACAGATAACTCACAATTAGAGCTATAGATGAAGCTGCCAGTGCAAGGGGAATGGCCACTGAGGTGATCTTGTCAAAAGGACCCTTAAAGTAAGTGTGCTTGTGAATGTTTTGAAAGTACTGTTGCTTCTTAAGGAGTCTCTCCCTGGGGACAAAGGGTGGTTCCGTCATTCTGCATGGTCAATTAAAAAGATGAAATGAAAATTCAATGTAAAAAGCAAGCAGAAAATAGCACATCACAGAAGAGCAACTTCCCCCGTCAAACCCTACCTCATACACACAAATTCAATGTAATATGCACACATTCCATAATTCAGATTGTCCCATTCATTCCCACACGTTGAGGCAATTGGACTTTGGTTTCCCACTTTCACTTCAGGCTGAGGGTCTATAGAAGATTGAGGATAAAGACCAGCAATTAACACTCCTTGTAACAGCTTTTTGTCCCAATAGAGAACCTTTCTTTGGTGCCAAAGTAGTTATAAATTATGGTATATGACTACCAAGCTTCATTTAGAACAAGCAATCTTTTTCCGACAACTATCAATAAGGAGCTCTGTTGGTCTCTTTATTGGCATAGGATAAGCACAAACTGCAATTTGGACAAGGAAACACAATACTAAAAAACATATAACTATGTTATGAAGGTAAAACCTAGAAGAGTGTATGTTCTACCAGTAATAAACTCCCACGAGGAAAAGAAAAGGAAAATAGGGCACTGGGGGGTGGAGGGTCCATTTTGACCAAAGAAATGTCTTAAAATGATAAAATGATAAATATATAAGATTCACACTTTGGATATGTAACATAGCAGCCTGGAAAGGGAAACTGATATCTTAAGCTGGGATAACAATGTTGATGAATTCATTTATAAAAAAAAAAAAACAATGTTGATGAATTCCGTAGCTCAGGCTACTTCTATGTCAGCAAATTTCTTATATAAGATTGTTGACAATAAACTTGAATACCTAGAACATTTTTTATTGTGGAAAGGGATATCAACATGTTATGGTTTACAATACAAAGCAAAGCTCAAATCTTAAACTCCCAAGGATTTCATTTGAATCTTGCATCTAAATAGAAACTCCTAAGGTTATTCTTTTTTTTTTTATCAATAACAGTAAATTTTATTAATAATTGAGAACTTAGGAAGTTACATAGAAAAAGAGCTAAAGAATCTTGACTCCCTACTATACCAATGTACACCCAAACCATGAAAAACTTACAACACAGCCCAAAAGAGAGAGTTTTTGTTCACCCCTTGTCTAGCTAGCCCATCTGCCAAGGAATTTGCATTTCTTTTTATCCATGTGCAATGAACTTCTCGATGTCCTTAGTCAGCCACTTAAACTTCCTCTTTTCATTGTTGTAAATCTAGAGCTTAGAGCTATCCTCTTTTAGCCAATTCACCACAATTTCAGAATCACMTTCTATGATCAGTTTTTTAATATGCATGTCCTTAGCCCTTTGGATCCCTCCTTCAAGAGCTCCTAGAATCTCAGCCCTTAGAGAATCGCCCACCCCAATTGGACCGGAATACATAGCTAACAAGTTCCCTTTTTCATCTCTTATCACTCCCCCTATTCCGGAAGGCCCTGCCATCAGCATTCAGTTTGGTAAACCCTTGAGGTGGATGTGTCCAACAAGAACTTGAGGTCTTCTTCACCGAAGCTGAATCTGCAATCTCCTTCCAATTTCTTATCATTTGATCAACTGAGAAGTCTGTAAACAGTTCTAAAGTTTCCAACCAATGTATCACCCTAACATGGATACTCTCCAAGATTTGCTTCCAAGCTTCTCTCCTTATCTAAGAAAATCCGTGAATTTCTCTCCTCCCAAACAGTCCAACATACTGCAGCCCTAACACATCTCCACATGATCTTGGCCCTTTTGTTGTCCAGCGAGGCATGGATGTGAATAAACTTTGCACATTCAAAGGAGGGGTCCACCTGCACCCAAACAAAGAAGTAACATTCCCAAATACTTTTAACAAACTGACAAGAAATTAGTTAGTATCCAGACTCACCATCAGATTTACAGAGGACACACCAGTTAGGAGATAAACATCTATTGGGTCTTTTTCTTTGAAGTAAATCCCCTTTATTAACTCTTTCCAAGAAGGCTTCCCAACAAAAACTCCCAACCTTAGGAGGAATAGGTTGACACCACACCTTTTTAATCGGGAAGGACAAACCAATAGGAGAGGGGGTAATAGGGCCTTAAAGAAGGAGGCACAAGTGTAGGACCCCGTAGGAGTGAGAGTCCAGATTCTATTATTTGCCTTTGTTGGAGCTAGGAAAATCCCATCCATAATGGATAATAAGGCAATCTAACTCTGTGTCCCTGATAGCTCTTCTCAAACCCAGGTTCCAACCAAAACCAAAAGGTGAATTAGAAGGTACAAGGAAGGAGAAAATTGGTTCATTTTTCATGGTAGAGATAGCAAAAAGGCTTGGAAATTGATCTTTCAAAGCGGAGTCCCTAACCCAAATATGTTCCCAAAATTTAGTGAGGTTACCTGAGTACACATCATACCTTATCCAGGGAGAGAACAAGGGCAAAATAACTTGAATAGCTTTCCAAGGAAATGCTCTTGTAGTCCTTGCAAGAATCCCAGAATCCCATCCATTATTTGCCATCCCATGAATACTCCCCACTATCTTAACCCAATGTTTCTCTCTCCAGCGAGAATCTCCACAACCATTTCCCTAGTAGTGCTAGATTTCTACTCCTAAGGTTATTCTTTGAACCTTACTATTTATACAATCCATACAATTCAAATCAATTCAATTAAGTCATGGTTCTCTATCCTCAGTTTCTCTAAACTTTCTTTCAAGGGACTTTTCTTTTAAAACTCTTATTAGAATAAGATTTATTTAGATAAAAGAGAGACTATATATGGGTTAATTAACTCATAAGTCAAACTTGACTACATCATCTACCATTCTAGTTTCTAAGTGGCAAACCCTGGTGTATTAACTGCTTATATAGTAGCTATGACACAAAAATGGGATCACTAATCCATGTGGCTGCGTTTAGAAAGAGTACAAATCCTGGTTCAATGCATATATGCACTCTGCTTCAGTTTTGCTAGTGTTTGGCAAGTGGCAACGGTGCAACTGTGTATTGACAATGACAGAAAACACAATTTCCAATGCATGTTTACACCCAAAATGAGAAGTAATTCTGCATCGAAAAAAGGAAGTAAACATTTGCATTCAAAATGATCAATGTTAAAAAGGTATATTTCAATATTGGGATTTGTGTTTGCATCCATTACAATTAAAAATCGTTTGGCAAGAGAGTAAATTTATCAATGCAAAACTAAACCAACTTTGCATTTGTATGGACCAAAATGCACTCTGCATATTTGCATTTACACTCTATTTGCACTGTTTCCAAATGCAGCCTATATGTTTTAGTTTTAAGCACGTGTTTTAAATTTTTGACAAATATCTAAAGGGTGATTAGGGCACATCCAAATTTTGATAAACCAGCCAAATCCCTAGAAAAAGACAAAGAAAGCACTTTTTGTTATCACAGAAGTCAAAACATAGGGGTGTTACTGTCTTATGTGGCATCTACTCCATGAGTAGTGATTGGGTGTGTCCCTTTATTACAAATGGGTGATGCCCAAATCACTCCCAATTTTTAAAATAGAGAAAGAAAGATCTTATAATTTGTCATACAATTCACGATTTGATTTAGCTCAAGCTTCACCATGATTTAGAGTATGTTTATAATTTTAAGCACAATAAAGCATGTGAGACATACTGTTGCTTAGAACAAGACAACCAGTCAACAGGATGTGCTGTTCCAAAACTTGAGTCAGTTTAGGAGATGAATAATGCAAGGCTAAACTACGCTGGCATTGTAAAGAGAACGGTTCTTACTGGGAAAAGAAATTTAGAAAGAAGTACTTCCCAGAGGACATGTTCCTTCAATTAAGTAGGAAGTTCTCAAATTCAATACTAAGGCAACCATGGTGACAAAGGACTCACTAAAGCAAGACATCTATTGAAAGGTCACATATGGAGGAGCACAAGATTCTTGGATAACTCCGGTTAGGGGTGGCCACGAGCCGAGCTTTTCACGAGCTATTTGAGCTTGTCTCGTTATTGTATTTTATTTTTTTCAAACATTTGGCTCATAGTCAAGCTCAAATTGAGCTCGAGCCATATACTGTATTGGCGAGCAGAGCTCAAATAGTTAGATATTCGGCTCAGCTCGAATCCACCCCTACCTCTGGTAATGCAGCACATTCACACCCTCAACCACAATTTCCACTTAAGGATAGTAAATCTGGGTCTTCCTCCACTATTTGACATTGAATAGTAATTCCATATTGTTATCAATCTCATTATTTTTAAATTGTCTCAGCATCACTTAGGAAAAACGTATAAGACCTGAAAAATAAAATGTCTGATGAATAAAAATTCATTTTTGTCTTTGTCCACAGAAACTGCCCTAATAATGCAATTAATTCTTCCCACCACCCAAAAAAATGATGGGTAATTCTTCCCTAAAAAATTGGCATCTGATGTCCCCTCCACATAATATCAGTCATTTTCTGGTGGGTTTATCAATTGTTACGAATGAACATCAAATTCTGCCAACCTACTATCGATATGCATTGTTCCGTGTCTCTGCAAAATCAAAATCGTAACATTTCATTTGTTTATAACTATTATTATAGTTCCTTAGAAGAACCTTCCATTTAGTTTTCGTAAAACCACATCCAATGATGAACCATGAATGTGGAGACATGACTCAATTTGGCCATCAAAAACGTACAAGCCAAACCATTGTGCACATGGAAGCTGGTTTGCAGCAAAAAGTACTAATGGTTAGAAGAAAGCTCATGCATAATAATGGATTAGACTGGTTATCAACATGCTTAAGAGTGAAAACAAAAGCATATGAAAGAAGACGCAATTGTTTCTCTGTTCCTCCAAAGATTTCAACTAAAACATCACATACACTACCCATATTAGCCACGAGAGAAACAATTTTACTTAATCATCTATCGAACAACAGAAAGAAAAAAAAAATCAAAAGAGAACAGATTCATGGGTGTCTGTTTTTATTTTATTTCATCTGTCTGGTTTCTTCATTTAAGAAAGAATAAACAGGAGAAATAAAGGTTATGGCTGTGTTGCTTTCGGGGGATTCAGAGAGTTACCTCGGCGGCAGAGATTTCGCGGTAGCCCTTTTGAGTGCTGAAGGCTGAGAGGTAGATCTAGGGTTATGGCGTCAAGGAAGCGAGGTGGAGATGAGAGAAAACCAAAGTATCCTCCCCCGCCTCCTTAACAACATGTACAGAATTACGGATTTGTCCTTTGCGGCTTTACCTTCGATATCTGATCTATTTGATCGAATTCGGATCATCCCTATCCGATCCAATATATATTATATACTTATAAATATAAATATAAATATATATAATACATATATATATTATTTATTTATTTATAAATATATTATTTATATTATATTTTTATAATTTGTCATTATTTATTTTTTATAAAAAACATGTATATATATGATTAAAATAATTAAAAAATACTTGTATTTTTTTGTTTTTACTTTATTTAAATTAGTATATTTTATTTTTCTTTTAATAATTTATTAATTTTTAAAGACAATAAGTCGGATCAATCAGATCTGAAGATCCAACTTATCGATAGGATTCAAATTCAAATCAAGTCCTATAAAATCCGATCGGATCCGACATGAACAATATCGGATTGGATTCGGATATACCCTAATTCGAATCCAATCTAATCCATTTGCATCCCTAATGAAATGTTCATACAATCGAATTGAGATCTCTTGCCCACAAGAATCCTACCAATGTGATATTACAGTTGTACATTGGGAACATCTCCCCATAAATGGTAAGATAAAAACATGGAGTCTCATAAATTGCGCCTCACACCAACCTCACCACATGTCTTGGCTGTATATTGGGAACATCTTCGGTACTTATATTTATTATTCATGGGGAGATGCCCCCAATATAGGGTGAGATGTGGTTGTGAGAGCAGATCCCAATTTGCAAACATGGGAGATGTTCTCAACATACAACTATAATGAGGCATAGACATGTTCATGGGCTAGGCTCGGGCTTAGGAATGGCAATTTTCCCCATCCCCGACGGGGACTCGACTTCCTCGACCAGATGGGGTCGGGGATGGGGATTGAGGTCCCTGCCCCGCCCCAACCCCGATTATATATTTATATGTTATTTATATTAAATGTATATATATATATATCAAAACATATTTAAAAMAGTATTTATAGTTTAAAATTTTTATCTATTTTAAGTAAATTTAGTTTTCAAAGAAAATACTATTATCTAAAAATATTTCGGGGATTCTAGTCCCCGCAGGGAACCCATCCTCATCAGGGATCGAAGATGGAGGACAAATTTTATCCCTGGTGGGGATCAGGGATGGGGATGGAGGTTAATTTTAGAATCGGGGCAAGGACGGGAAATATGATCCCCACCCTGTTGTCATTCTTACACGGGCTTGGCTTCTGCCAAAATCTAAATGGGGCCCGGCCCAAAGCCCAAGCCCAACACAATGTAGGTCTAGCTCGAAGCCCGGCCCGTGAACAGGTTAAGCGTGGGTAGGAGATTTGAGCTCTGATCGATCACACCTTAGCCAGACTTATCATCTGATTGCTTGCTTTGGAAGCACACAAATAATGGTATTTTTTACTGTTAAATCCGTTTATCAGGTAATTATTTATGCTAAACCATCAACATCTTTTAATTTTTTCTATTGGAGCTTAATCTAGAAGCTCAAGGTCCCATATAAAGTCCAAGTTTTCATGTGGAAGGCTTTATGGCAAGGAATTCCTATGTTGGACAAATTTGGTTTCATCACACATGCATGACAAACTTTATTGTTTTTGTCAACAACACCAAGAAACCTTAAATCATATATTCTTTTAGTGTTCATATTCAGGGGTTATATGGCGTCATGCTCAACTTGGCATCAATCCGAATCACCATGAAGAAGCTTCATTACACCAGATTCTAAATAATTGGCTCTTGTCCACCAAACGGGAGTTAACAAAGTTAGATCAAGTCTTTCTTATCCAAAATTAGTATCTTGCTAAGATTAATATGGGATGAAAGGAATCTTAGAAGGCATCAAGGTGGGGCATCTTCATCAGAGGAATTATTCCAAAAAAATGCCATCTTTCCTTCATAGCCACTCACGATAATCACTTACTATTTGCATCAAGAACTATCGTTGCAGTTTAAGGAATTCAAGATACTGAATTCAAGGCAGTTGTTAAGGGATTGGAGAAAGCAAATTAAGAAGGTTATAAACATATATCTCTCTTCTCTGATGCAACACAGGTTATACAGGCCATTCAAGAAAGAACCAACATTGGCAACTGGATAACTCAGATGCACATCAGAACCATAATGCACAATATCACAATTTTTGAGAACTTTCAAGATCCCTAGAGATCGGAATACTTTAGCTCATCTTTTTGCCTACTACTCTAGTAAGTTTGATGTAAATATTATATATAACTCTTCTGGGCTTCATGTACTTTCAAATTATCAATGAATATTGCATGAAAGTTGTTAAAAAAACAAATTATAACTCTCCACACCAATAATAAAATATATAGGACCCATAATTATTTGATTTTATTTCACCATCTATTTTATCACTAATGTGGCGCACTACCATTCATTGTCAGCATACTAACACTAATCCCAATTCGTTATTCGGATTAGCTGCATTTGATCACTCCAAACCAGCCACAAAATGTATATGCCCCACAAATACAATTAATTAGTATATGTTTAGTTGTGTTGGAGTTTACAGAGAGGCCATTTATTACTTTAGGGGTGTTCTAGAGTGTGGATGAGAAATTGGTGGGTGTGGACTGGTCGACACCACACCCTGTGGCAGGGATTAATCCACATCACACCACAATCCATAACTGTTCTGAATTATGGATAGATTGTGTGGACCGGACCAGTCCACACTCACGGTGGCGTTTTGTAGGTGTGGTGTAGATTGGTCCATACTACACTTTTTGATTCCATGTATCTCATATACTTTTTATGGGAGATCTACATAGCCGATCATAAATACCTAATTTTTGCATTTAATATGGTAAATGAAAAAAAGACAATAAATTAATATGTAAGCAACAATTGCATTTTTTAAATAATTAAAAATATTACTTTAAATATTTAAAAATATATATATTCTAAAAATTATTTTATTGATAAAAATATTAAAAAATTAATATTTAAATAATGAAAAAAGAGTTGAGAAAGAAAACCATCAGACTTGTGCTAGAATTAACATTACAAATTATTATTTTATTGATAAAATATTAAAAATTATTAAAAGATTAAATAAAATGAGAGTAATTGAACCAGTGTAACATGGGTGCGTTATACTGAAACCTTCCCACAAACTGTCCACACCATAGTGTGGACCATCCACAAGAAAATGCGTAGACGATAAATTGAAGTGTGGCCCATCCCTGTTCATACTATTTTATGGACGAGGACCATCCATACATAGCAGAACACCATATCTTACTGTGGACAAGACCATCGAACACCACCTTAAATGCTTATTTTTACTATCTTACTTCCAACGTTTTCCACTTTAAATGTTTATTGCTTTTCTTTATTTGGTTATGCATCACTTTAAACATTTATTGTTTTCCATCTCAAATTAACACCCATAAAAGTATGTCACATCATCATTTCGTTTCAAGAAATATTGGGGGTTAGGAGAAACGAAAATTTGATATTCCCCAAATGCCCCATGCACAAAAAACCAAGCATTTTCAATTTCTTGGTATTTATTTGATCTCAAATTAACACCCATAAAAGTATGTCACATCACCATTTCGTTTTAAGAAATATTGAGGGTTAGGAGAAACGAAATTTTGATATTTTCCCAAAAGCCCCATGCACAAAAAACCAAGCATTTTCAATTTCCTGGTAATAAACACAAACGCCTATGTAACACTAATGTGGCAGCATTTTTTTCAATAAACTCCAACGGAATCAAACATCCCCTCAATTTCTTATGTCAGTCAACCATGATACAGCCTAAAACAAGGTGGGCCCCACAATCACTCAATCTCAAATAAGGTGAGCTATGCAACCTATCAGGTGCGAACACGCCAATGTTTTGTATGCATGGGCGCATGTGAAATTCACACATTAYGCGGCATGGAACACTGGTATCTTCACTGTTGATTGCTACTTTTTTCTTCCCTATATGATCTCCTTCTGGTCAGTCTTGAATCCCAATCAGCACTATTTCAACCTTGAAGCTTCGGTTGTAGWTTTTGTTCACGTGGCAAGAATATTTTTGGCTGAAATCTCCCAGTAGCAAAACCAATCCCTYATAATTTTTATTAGGGATTTTTGGACTGCAATCCCCCTCATAAATCTAATTTGTAGCCCCCTCCTAGTCTATTAATAGCCCCCCTAAAAACTGCATCCTACCCGTGAATTTGGCATCAATCCATGGGCAGGATTCAGTCCACCCCTAATCCATAAGTAGCTCCACCTAGGGGTGGATTGAACGGGCATGGTTTTCAAAACCGGACTGGACCGACGGTTGGACCAAAAAACCGATAACCGTTTAGCCCCCCAGGTCCGGTTATATTATAAACCAGTAAATCTTTAAAACCCGTTGAAAAAGTTAGAAAACCACTAACCCGAGTGGTCAAACCTCTAAACCATTCGACCCGGGCAGCGGTTCACAGGTTATCATTTTAATTTTCATTGATTTAAATAAAATAAAAAAAAAACAAATAACCCCCATATCCCCAATCCCATCTCTTATGTTTAGGGCTAGAACGATCCCATTTTCATTCTAACCTTCCCTCCTCTCATCCGTTACACCCAATCGACCACCTGYGGCGGCCACGACCTACGACATCTGACAGCAACACACACTGACCGACGACGATTCACGATGACCAGTGACGGTAGTGAGTTTCATATATGGCGGCCAGCATTGATTTTGCAACAGATCCAGCAATAACAGTTGTGGGTTGCGGCAGTAACAAGTCCGACGACCGACTTGCAGCGRTGGCCGACGATTTTGCAACCTTACCTGTAGTGACGGTGATGGTATATTTCTTGCCCACTATTCTCCCATGCTTGTTCTATCTGCAACTTTTGGGAACTACCCGACCTTCAATCCTTTGAGCGTGAAGGTATAAAATTCAAAAAAAAATGCAAAACTTTTGGGTTCCCAATTGAGTGTCAGGCTCRAAATTGGTGGTTCCCAAAAGTTTTCCTTGGGAACCACCAATTTCAAGCTTGACAG